TCATATATGTAAATATTTAATTAAAATGTACGGTCCTATAGAACCAGGATTTTATAGAAAGGTAAAAAAAAAAAAAAAAAAAAACTTATTTTGCTTAATACAGTAATAATGGTAATTTAATTTTAATTAACATTTATTTAAGGTAATTCGTCAAGAATTTTATCCCTTGTTGGAAGTCAAGGAAAAGAATGCCTTTGCCGATTTACCAGAAAACCTTTATTCTGCAATTGAAAACTTAGATTGCTCTCATTATATTCATGAAGCAATTGTCCATAATGATGACCCTCAAGTTGATAATCAAGAAATATTGATCGAAATTATTAATTCAAATGAAAATCAAAATGTCGGTATAGTTAATTTAATAAATGAAAATCAAGATATCGATATAGATGTCAACAATCAAGATATCGATATAGATGTCAACAATCAAGATATAATCTTGTACCAGACCCGTAAACAAGAAATTTTTAACCTGTTGGATGCAACAAAAAAAATTATTGAAGAGAACACAATGAATCCAAATGGTAACAAATGGCTCGATAGTATTAAAAAAAAATTTTGAGCCATTGCGTAAATTGGAGGCGGATTATAATCATTTTAAAAGGCAACGCAATATTCCAAATACTTGGAAAAATCGTAATCATAATACTTTCTGGTTGTAACAAATCTTAGATTTTATTTGAAATAAATAAATGCTTGATGCTGTTGCTTATTGTTATTAAGTTTCATTAGTTTTCGTTATTTCGTAATTTATTCAAGTTACACGAATTTAGTTGTGTCACGTGATGTTCGAAATTTTTTTGGGTGGCGATTTTACCCCGGTTGAATTATGGTGGCCAAATTTTATTTTATTAGTAAAAAGGGTTAGCTTTGAAAATTTCTTTGACTATTTTTCTGGTCCTTTACATTTTTACGAAAAAAAAATTGTTCTAGCTATACTAGGAGAGACGCTAAAGCCTTGTGGTGACGTTATTCTGCACCACCCACAAAAAAAACCTGATACGCTAAAGCCTTGTGGGGTGATTCTATTATCACATCGTGTGTCGTCGGGGTTCGAATATTCAAACTTCGCTTTTGATTTGTAATATATATTACTAATCAAAATCTGAGTTTGAATACTCGAACCCGACATCACACTACGTGATAATTAGATTTCGGGATGTTGAATGAGTCAAATGTCGTGATTTTAGAGTAGAATTATCCACAAGGCTTTAGCCGACCTCTATACGAGTTATTTTTGTGATGCAATTTAAAAATAGGAGCTGGTTTAAGATGTCCTGCACTGTGTTTCGATAATTTTGAAGCTATTTTGTTTATCAATCTGCGTGATTTCTATTGACGACAACCCATATATAAACAGTTTCCATGGTTAAGCTAGATTCGTCAATTTTTGGCGAATTCGTCATTTCATCTTCTAAAACTTTGACAAAGGGCGTAACCCAGTTTCGTCTTTTGTCAATGATAAACTTATAAGTTCGTCTAGCAACACTAGGTGGTCTAAAAAACGACCCTGGTTTAGAAGCACTTTAATTAAGAAGGTAAAGAAACATGATATGGAGTTCTTTGCAAAAATGGTATTTTCCAATTTTAAATATAAGTGTGAAGAGAACATTATTAAATCAAAACTTATTTTGAAAATGGTATTTTTAAAACGCAATATGAAAACTATTATGTACTCATGATATTCAGGATTAATATATAGTTGCTTTTATCTAAGTCAACGAATCATAAATTCATGTAAACTAAATAGTTTAACAATACAATTGATAAAATAAATTTATTTTAAAACTCGATGAGCATTCGAATGTTCGAAAATCTGGTGTTTGTAAACAATGTTCGAAATTCATCGATTTCAAACTTTAATTCCAACGTTAAACGTTCAATTAGCGAGCCTCATCTCTGCACTTATATTCATCCTTTTCAACTCCAATTCCATGGTGATAACAATATCCAACATATATGCTCCATGAACGTCCCCTATCTCTGATTTTTGATAATATATTAATTCCTTATGTTCATCCTTTCAACCCCAATTCCATTTTGATAACAATATACAACATTATATATTCCACTAGCGTGTCCCATTTCTGCATATTTTCGATAATAAATGAATGCCTTACGTTCATTCTTTTCAACTCAAATTCCTTCATCATAACAATATCCAGTAATTACCCTTATTAGCTGCACTTCGACAATAAGTGTTGGCTTTGTCCTTATCAATTTTAACATTTATACCATAATAATATTGCCAACCAAGTTCACAAAGTTTCTCATGTGTTTCGATTATTTGATCCATATCAGATATGAATCAAAGCCGTAAAAAAAAGAAGTTATTATTATTTTTTTTTATCAGTAAATTACAATAAACAAATAAAATTGGTAAAACTAAGACGAAAAGCATTGCACGCATGTTTCAAATTGGAATCATCCGGTCTTATATACCGGAGTTGAGTTTTATTTGAAGAATGCAGTTTACATTAGTTGTGATTTATGCAACATTAAAACTGAAACGGGAGACGCTCCCGGAAATAGATAGCAATTACTATTGCGCCGGGGATCACCGTAAGCAGTTAAGTTTTTAGTTTGTGCTGGCCGGTGGTTTCCCGCCTGCATAACGCAGGCCGGCCGTCAACATGAACATGTGGTATTGCTATTCAGCAGTTGTAATATGAAAATGGCAGGTTCTTTTGGGAGGAAGGGATGGGTCGCGAATTGAGGTCGGCTAGAGCGATTGTTGGTGTGGGAGTGTGATTGTGATTCCCCTGAATCAGCCTTATTCATACAGTATCCATCATTACGTTATAATTACTGTATGCGAAAAGTCATTAGAAATCATATTCGCCTCTTGTAAATCTTGATTGTACCGGACTGGTTCTGCCCCTTGCTATTTTTATGAGCATGTTACCCCTGCTTAGCATCTTTTCGATCCGTTGACTTTTTGTCAACTCGAATAATTGATTCGTGCATGAAGTTGCATTTGGATATTTTTCACTTCTTTATTCCTTCCTCATACTTAAAAATAATTATTAGTTATTGAGCATATTTTATTTTTTTTTCTGTTGAAAAAAATTAAAACATTGTTTTTTTTTGTTTTAGATTTCTCATTCGTTTATTTTTGTCAATTCGTTAATTCATTCCAACATTTCAGTGATGATAATTCCAAAATTGAAACCATTTACAACTACTGTGAATGATTTTTCTTGTAAAATCTATGATGCAATACAAGCACATTTGAATGAATTATTTTTATTGTTTTTTGATAAATCTATCGTATTTTCGCGTAATAACGCGCAGGGTGTAATTTCGAATTTTGGCCTAAATTAAGCTTAATTCGGGCCAAAATTCGAAATAACGTTCATGGGCGTTATTACGCGAAATGCGAAATACGGTATATCTAAACATTTCGAAGAATATCGTTATTATAATGTTAACAAATATTTTGTGCCTGATGAAATTTAATTGCTGTAAACTGCCGTATACAAATAGTAATACAGAAATTAAGTACAGTCGACTCTGGATATAATGAACTCAAAATTTTGGTATTTTAAAATAGTTCGGTATAGAAAGTGCCATGTGTTTTTAATAAAATTTAATAATTTTTTATAATGAACTTTTTTTTTCCAGAATCTTTTCTTTATAAAAAGAGTTGACTGCATTCTTTCCAAAATCTTTTCTTTATAGTAAGAGTTGACTGCATTCTTAATCTTTTATTATACTTCATTTAGATTAGTAATTTCTTTCTGTACACGAATTTTTTTTAAATTGATGCGGCAGAGCTCTAATTTGTTAACCTATTTCGACTACGATAAGGAATCTTATCGAAATAGATAAAACACTAACTTGCCATCGTTAAAAGGTTTAGATTTTTCATATCCTTTTTCGAAATATTCCAGAAGTTAGTTAATGTCACCAATGATACGTTTAAAAAACTTTTTAACAGGCATTATATGCTTATTTAGATCTTGCCGCCATGTAATTTTTAAATAGATTTTGAATTATTGTGAATAAAATACAAACCAATTTCCATATTATCTTTAAACGGCTGAACATTGCAATTTTCAACCTGATACTTATAAGC